GCCACTTCTGATTGGTTAACAATGACTGGTACATGTGGAGCACAGCACTTCTGATTGGTGTGGATGACTGACACACAAGAAGAACAACATTTCCAATTTATTTTTAAAAGAATCGCAGGCTTTGCGAGTTGATAACTGCATCANTGATTGGATCAATCTGTCTATCACCTTCTATCATGGGCCACTTCTGATTGGTTAACAATAACTGGTACATGTGGAGCACAGCACTTCTGATTGGTTGTGGATGACTAACACACAAGAAGAACAACATTTTGTTTTACAATTATAATTTATATTTATTTAAAGGCCATTGACTGATTGAATTAAATGAAGTTAAAGCAAGAGCAAGAAGCTTCAGTAAGAATGCTATAGCAATTATTAAAATAAAATGTATATATAAACACACATCCAATGAAATACAACTAAATTAAATGAACTTAAATCAAAACAAGTTTTTAAAAATAATATATTGGACGTGGAGTAAAATAAAAGATACAAATATTTCTATAAAGACAAGACATTCAAGATAACATTATTTAAACAAAGGAGGTTAAATAAGAGTTCGCAATAAAAATATATAATTAAAAATGTATATTTATATTAACATAAAGAGTTAAAACGTAATATCTAATACAAATAAAATAAAACAGGAAAAAAACTATACAAAATGTAAGACAATAAAAAGACTGAATTAAATACAATTAGATATATGCACAGTAGATATTCCCATACACTACAGCTCTCCAATGGATTCACAATGAGAGGTGGAGGAAATCCCTGAATCACGGTCTCAGTGAATCATCAGTCTGTAAGTCCTCCTGCAGACGGTGGACAGACAAACGGTCACGCCGTCTCTGAAACCTGAAACTCTGCAGGGTGCTTTTCTGTCTCGTGACAGCATGAGGGACGGCTCGTCCTGCAGGAAGGAGAGCGGGCAGTAAACGCTAAGTGAATATCCTGTCCTCTGAACGTGGGCTACAGCCTATTAGCACACTTAATCTAATCTCTGCGTCCGGGGCCAGACTAATATCTGGATTTTAGAGTTCCCTTCTCACGTATTTACCTGCACATTGGTGACTTGCAACATTCTCTTGCTGTGTTTCATATTGTTTTATGTCTTATATATTCATGTTGCATTGTTGAAGGAGCCTGGAATTTAAGATTTTCATTGACATAACTACACTAGCTCCTGCCGAGCTCCACCTGTTATCAGGGGGAATGTAAATATTCATTTATGAGCAGAGAAAGATGTTATCTAAATCCAGTAAATCAGCATCAATGGAGTCATGTTTTGAATAACTTGAAGGAAAGGAAGACTTCACCCCTAAAAACGTCATAATTTAAACACGCAGATGAAGTGAGAATATGATAAGTCATGTGACCGTGCTGTAGTTCCTTTATAGCCCAACATTAGCCACCTTTAGCTTAGCGGTGGTGACGTGAAGTCATGTGACCATGCTGTAGTTCCTGTATAGCTTGTTACGTCAGATCATAAATCATAAACGTTGAGACTATTTTCTGAAATAATCATACGGCTCCTTTTTGTGGCGGGAGCCAGGGAGATGTTGCCTTCAGGGTCCACTTTGTTGGCCTCTACAATCCCAAATAAGTGTATGGTTCATCAAATGTCCCCTCAGATATCTAGAAGCTTTGAAATCCTCCTTCTCTTTAAAGCCTCACAGCTTCAGTGGAGAGCCGCCCTAACTCGGTTAATTCAAGTGAAAGCCTCTGAGGTGCTCTTAAACCCACAAGGTTAATATGACATGGTGAAAAACGATCTGCCTGACCGCTGACCTTAATACACTTTTAATACTCCGCTCACTGCCCGGCAGTAATGGCCGCCTGAGGAATGCCTCCAGGAAGGAAGCATAGATATGGTTTCTCATGATTTATGTCGCGCTGCATCTGGACGTGTTGTAGCTGCAGAGAAACGATCATTGATCTGAGCGACGCTGGTGAGCAAGGCGTGGAATATATTTGATGAATGACCCGCTGGGAGGAAATGCCAAACTGAGGCATGAAGGCAAGGATCCTTGGATGATGAGAAAGTTGTGACACGTAGACCTTAAATTGGATTTAAGATTAATATTAAGAAGATGGTTCCGCTATCGACCTGACAGCAGATTGTTTCCGTCTGTTTCTCATCTACTCCAGCGTGTTTAAGACAAAGTGCATTTACAATAATAAGAATAAGGCACCTTAAATGCAGACTCTTTGAGACTAAACTTGTTTGTTATTCATTTATCAATAACGTTTTTTTTAAATCACAATCAGGGTTCGTTGAATGCTTTTCAGATTGCCAATTAAAAAACAAAAGTAAATTGGATTGTATTTTATTGCTTATCAAGTCTTGAAGCTTTCTTCCATTTCCTAATCAGTTGTTAATTTGTGTTTGTGACATATGTTATCCTTCCTGTTGTCCTCCCATCTAATGTGACCCTTTCCAAATGTCTTTCATGTCAGAATAAGTGGATATTTTATTTAATTGCCACAGAAACGAAGATTTACAAAAAATCTATGTGTGTTTTATCCAAATTCAGAACATAAAGGTTAACGAGACATTCCCCCTCCATCATCACGTGTTAATATCTGACCTCTGACCTCTGACCTGCTGCAGGGCGCCCTGCTGAACCCGTGCCGCTGCGACGGCTCGGTGCGCTACACCCACCAGACCTGCCTCCTGAAGTGGATCAGCGAGCGCGGCTGCTGGACCTGTGAACTCTGCTGCTACCGCTTCAGCGTCATCGCCATCAACACCAAGAACCCCTGGCAGGTAAAGCATGGAGGGCGGGGAGCGGGGAATAATTGTACTTTATTTAATGTACAATTATGATGAATGAGCATGTAATAAAACATTTATATAAATACGTAGAAATATGCACTTTAACATGTAACAGGTTGGTTGGTAATGGACGTTTAAATAATGAATTAGGAATCATTGCCATTATATGATCTCTGGGCTTTTTATGACTTTCTTTACAGCCGTTTGAGGTTACCGTTTTCTCCCTCCGAGCTTCTCTCTGAATTATTATAGAGGCATTAACATCTGATTGTTTTTACAGTCTCTCTGGTGCATTGATTTATGCTCAGAAATATTCACAGTGCAGGAAAACCGGCCAAAAAATAAACCCTCCTGCATCTGTGTTACGTCCCAACTAGGGCAAGAGGAAAGGCAGCACACTCCAGAAGGAGTTTATTAAATAACAGGATAAAAAAATGGAGCAACCAACAAAGGGAGGACTCTAAGAAGAGAGCCTAATCAAACACAAAGGAATAGATACTACAGGGAGGTGTGTGGCGCAGTGGGTTGTGCGTTGGTGTTGGGAAACAGGGGGTCACAGGTTCAAACCCCACTGCAGTCAGCATGTCGTTGTGTCCCTGAGACACTTCACCCCAAGTTGCTCCTGTGGGGATTGTCCACAGTATTGAGTATGTGAGTCTCTTTGGATAAAAGTGTAATGTAAACAACAAAACAACCCTCACTATCAAAGTGGTACAAGCTAACAAGAGGCTGTAAGAAATCACAGCTAAGCTAGAGGACGACAGTCAACGTCATTCTAAGCTACTCTAGACACATCTAATCACAAAAACACTAAACTAAATACGGACCACACGAGATAAGCACAACAACGAAAAGCAAGTAGCGAGAGGCGTCTGTTCACACATCAGAGCCTGCCGACTGATCGCTGTCCACAGGCTCTGTAGTCGTCTCCGGAAGGTGTGCGCTGGGATTGGAGCGTGTCGGGCCCGGCATCCTCCAATCACAATCTTCGGGGCGGGCCAGGAGATGAGCAGCCAAGGACATCAGGGCAACCACACAGCTCATTTACATAAAACACAGTCAAACAGAGTTAACCGGGGAGGCGGCGGCCGTAACGAGCTGTCAGAGCACTTCCTGCGTAACGGCCGTAACGAGCTGTCAGAGCACTTCCTGCGTAACGGCCGTAACGTCCCTCTTAATTAAAACCCTTATAATAGCGTCTGTATATTTCTTTTCAATGGCTGACTGCTCAGAACATGTGGAAATAAGTGGAAAACTGCAAAAAATCGCCACATTTCAACCTTTTTAAATGTAATTTACGTCTTAACACCAAATGACATCAGTTTAAAATGATTTCATGAGTTCATGTATTTCTTTCTTTTCGCTTCTGATTTAAGACCCTCCCCCATTTTTATGAGTGTCTAACACAAAATGGACTCTACTAAATCAGTATTAAAATGCATTTAAGAATACATTTTCCATCAAACCATCTATCTATTAGTCATGGTTGTTTTCTTGATGAAGGCGTGGTGTTGACCCGCTCAGTGTTTCTGTTTCCTCTTCAGTTTGGATTCCTTCAGTCCTTGTTTCCTCCCAAGGCTGAACAGACGGAGTCTCCTGCAGCTCAACATGTCGGGATGGTTTAATTATCTGAGGAACATTCAGGCCTTTTCATATCTGTTCGCTCCAGATGGGACTTGAGTCACTGGCAGAATGAACAAACACCCTCAGAAAAAGTAGTTTTCTCGGAAATAATCTCCGTGCAGCTTCACAATCCACAATGTTCTGATTCTGAGTTATCTCTAAGCTTTTTTGGTTTTAAAGTATGTAGTGTCTCTACTTTAAAGAGTCCTCTCCTGCTGATGTTCAGGTGTATATCAGTATGTAGTGTCTCTACTTTAAAGAGTCCTCTCCAGCTGATGTTCAGGTGTATATCAGTATGTAGTGTCTCTACTTTAAAGAGTCCTCTCCTGCTGATGTTCAGGTGTATATCAGTATGTAGTGTCTCTACTTTAAAGAGTCCTCTCCTGCTGATGTTCAGGTGTATATCAGTATGTAGTGTCTCTACTTTAAAGAGTCCTCTCCTG